CTGGGGTTTGCCTGGCTGGTCACCACTCTTTCGTTGACCTGGCACGGGTAGCGCCTCAACTTGAGGTAACGCTAAGTTTACGCGTCGGTGATGCTGACACTGACGCTGACCCTCACCAACCCCAAAACGGTTCACAAGGTGAGTCGTTTTGTTCTTTCACTCTTCCTTCATTAATGATGTTATTGTTAATGTGTTTTAGGATTTTATATTGGTAAGACTTTGTTTGACTTCATTATTAATTAGGGAATGTATGGATGATCTTCTCTTGAAATAAGTTAAAATTAAACTTTTAGAAAAACTAATTAGAGACAAATTTTACAAATTGGCTTATATAGAGGTTTTTTTTTCTTCTTTTCTGGAAATGTTTCTGGAGAAGTATATCCAAACATGTCCTTAGACTTTCCCCTTAGGTTAAAATTAGAATTGTCCGATAAGTTAAACTCGACTTTTGAACAAGTTAAATGAGAGTGATTTTATAAATTAGCTTTTGCATAAGCTACTTTTAATTTATGAAAGAAATTTAAATTTCATTTTCTCATTTTCTTCTTCTATATAAGTACATGTTTATCCAAACATATCTTAGTCTAAGAGTTGCACCTAACTTAAGGGTGTTTTATGAAAAAGTTGAAATAGCTGTTTTTTTATTTTTATTTTTGTGGCTAGGTATTGGATTGAGTTTCTTCTGTCACTGGTACAATGTTAGTTTTTTTAGTTAGATTGTGTGGAGGTGGCTGCTGAACAAAAGCTTACTGCCTGAATGTAATTCTTTGATTTATCAGACTCGCCTAGTTTTCAGTGCTTTGAACAGAAGGTATTCCCTGCATTCAATAATTTGGTTGCTAATGACACAATGGATGATGCGGTGGCTGAAATTTTGAACAATCAATATATAATGCCTCGGGAGAGTTGCTTTTACATGGTATGTTAAAATCTCCATCATAATAGTTGGGATGTGTTTACTTTTCAATGATTGTTTGTGCTGTATTGTCTTCTTTGGCTCATCTTATTTGTTGAGGAATTGTTTTTTCTTTGGTTTTTAGTTGATTAAACTTTTAATGAACCAATGGAGTGTATCTTACATGTTATAATATTTATTTGTTTTCATATGTGGAAGTCTGATCTGGGACAGATTCGCAATCTAATTCCTGGTAATGGTTGCATATAAAACTCAATTTTATTTCTTGTTATATGTCTTGGTACTTCTTCACAATTATCTTGTTCATTTATACCAAAATGTAAGCATTTATTTTTATGCCACAATCACCTTCGTGAAAGAAAAGGAATCCTTTTTACTTGTTGATATTTCTAACTGTGTCATTCTCATTCTTTCTCGTGAATGACTTTGAATAAATAATTTCAAAAGTTGCATGACCATTATATTTATATGTTAAGGGAGTTATATTGATTTTCATCAAATTATGCTAGATGGAAGATATTGCCAGTCTGCCTGTATGATCTTATCAACAGCAACCCAGTTGCTGAAATTCTTTGTGACATTTCTTAGAGTAGCTTCGGTGTTCAGGTGGTGTAAGTAACGATGGTGTTGTCTTTCATATTTGATTGGACTTTTGTCCAATTAATTTACGCAGCTCATGCAGATTCTGGTTTCAACCTCATAATTGTGGATCCACCTTGGGAAAATGCTAGTGCCCACCAGAAATCTAGGTATACAAAAAGGCACACTATGTTTTGATGATGTAATGTTTACAAATTTCCTGTACCATACTTTGATTGAAGTAGAGATTTCCATGTGAGGTAATTCATCCCTGCATTGCCTTTAAGGATATGCCCTGCTTCTCTTCGATCTCTATTGTTCTGATATATTTCTCTCCAATGAACCACCTGTGAAGAGGGGGGTTTAGTTGCACGAAAATGAAATGAATTTTATTTTCTAATTAATTATTGAATTATATATATATATATATATATAACAAATCATATTAACAGAGATAGCTTAGTGGTTCATTGATGAACTCAACAGCTGTCACTCGGTTAAAATTGGCTCAGAAATGTAGCTTATTTGAAAGAAATATTGATCACAATGTGGTCAATGTAGGTACCAAACCTTGCCCAACAGGTACTTTTTATCCCTACCTATTAAGCAACTCACTCACTCTGAAGGAGCACTTGTAGCCTTATGGGTGACCAACAGAGAGAAGCTTCGTTGTTTTGTTGAGAACGAACTTTTTCCTGCCTGGGGAGTCAGCTATGCTGCTAATTTTTATTGGTTAAAGGTGATCTCTCAGTTACTTACTCTTTGCTTCGCATATAAGAGTGTAATGTCATTCCAATCTCCAGTATTTGTTGTGGATTGCAGGTGAAAGAAAATGGATCCTGGATTTGTGATTTAGATCACTTCCATCATAGGCCATACGAATGCCTTATCTTGGGATATAGTACTGGCAAGGTCAGATTTTGCAATGTTTAACTAATAAGCCTTCTAACTATCAGATCCCCCACCTTTCGTTGTTTATAGCTCTCACTTGTGTTCTTTTGTACCTTTCGTAGGTAAATAATACTGATAATCAATCAAAATTTAAACCTGTGAAAAATGATCGGGTGATTATGAGCATTCCTGGGGATTACTCAAGGAAACCCCCAATTGCAGGTATCGTGTGTTGTTTTCAATTTACAAACAATACTAAAGTAAACAAGTTGTACTGGTTAAAGTTAGTATATTATTTGAACGATTCCTTTTTTTCTTGCTAATGTTGTCAGATTTGTTACTGGATCACGTTCCTGGGGTCAAACCTCCCCGATGTATAGAGTTATTTGCTAGAGAAATTATGGGTGGATGTGTTGCTTGGGGAAATGAACCCCTCCACTTTCAAGATTCTAAATATTTTTTCAAAAAGATGGATAAATGATTCTTGAGAAAAGAGATCGCGTCATTGGTAATAATCTATGGTCATGTCTGAATTTTCAGATTTCAGCTTCTATTTTTAGCTCATCCTTTTACTTGTTTTTGCTTTAGTAATGTTGAATTCTTCTGGCTGCCAACACATTTTCCTTTTCTGTGGGTTATACATACTGAAGCTCTGTTTCGACTGTAGACTTTGCAATGGCCGGAATGGTTTCTCATTTCTAGGACATTTGACTTATTGTTCATTTTGGTTTCTAGGAGAACTTGATGGGATTTTGCTCAAAAGTTTAATTTTCAATTTATCATAGTGTAGTTTTTTCATTTATATTAATTAGGAATTACTTTAAATATGATTAAAGTAGTTATTACAATAGTTAATTAGCTTATTATATATGAAAAAAATTATGATTAGAAAATATTATAGAAAAATTATACTCCAATTAATTTTTTGGTGAAATGTTCATTGATATGGATAAAGAACAACACTGGTGTTTTGGCGTAGAAAACAAATGATATGCAAGGCATTTTCATAAATGCTTCAAATAGCGTATCTTGGCAACTTTTGACATAAGTAGCATTTTTTTATCGGGAAGAATTATAATAAGGACAATAAACTTTGAATTTTATATATACTGGTAGGAAAAAGAGACATTTTGTGTTTCTTAAATTTTAAAAAGTATAAATAAATAAGGGATAAGTTGAATGGATAGTTATTTAGAAGATATGGACGGTTATTTTATTTTATTTTTTAATAAATGAATACTATATTTAATCCTTCATTAGATGCCTCACCCATGTGACTGTGTGTTGTAACAAATATTTGGATAAGTTTTTCTACGTATATTTCTTGAAGAAAAATAAAATGAATTTTGGAAAGTAATAATTGGTTTATTGATTCATAAAAAAAAATCTATATTAATTTTTTTCAAATATATATTTTTTGTGCAACATCATATTTTATTTCTTTTCATTAGGATTTGAATTCGATTAACTATAACATATATCTATAATATATATAAAGGTCATTAGTTTAAATTGATGTAAATATTTTTTTTAGACGATTTTACTTCTAAATTTTTAAATAATAAAAATATTTAAAATTAATTATTCTTATAAATTCAAGACTTGAATTCAAGATTTTAAAATTTAAAAATCAAATATAGCACCAATTTATTTAATAAACATTGATTATTTTTTAGTATTTTAATTAAATAAAATATAGAAACATAAAATGTCTCGACTCCATTAGTTAAGAATGGAAGAAATATTGTTAGAGAGAAAATTTTTTAGTTAAGATACTGAGTCAAGTTTTTTTATTTATCAAAATTAGAGTTATTAACGAAATTAGAAGATATTTTTGTATTAAAAACATACTTATAATATATATATATATATATATATATATATATATATTTTTTTTTTTTTTAAAAATCGAGCTAATTCGAAATAGTTTAAACATATTTAAGTTATATATATATATATATATATATATATTATTTTATTTTTTATTTTTTTTTCCTTCATTTTTAGAAGTACTTAAAAAAGATATACCTAAACATGCTGTTAAATATACACACGATTGAATTGTCTGTCTGGAATTATGATGTATCAGAGGCTCTCGTTTCCCATCTGTCTTTAGTTGGTTCCAGCCTAATCTAAAACCTTTTTATATCCCCTACCTAATTTTAAATTATTAAGATACGAACAGAAAATTCACAGAAAGGGATTTTCATTCTGCATAATCTTTCAAAATAATTCTCATTAAGAAAAATTATACTTAAAGAATTAATTTTTTTTAGTTTTGATAAAGTACATTGTGATTTTTTTAAAGTCATTTTATTTAATGATAAATATATTTTTATCTTTACAAGTAATTCAAAATCATCTTGCACTTTAAATTACATTGTAGTTTTATGCAAGTGAAATTTATTTGTATATTTCATTTGCAGCCTGAGCCAAATAGTCGGAGTTATATTATTTATTTCTAGAGTGACAAATTTTTTAAAATGAATAATTATATCCTTAATTTTATCATGCGAGGGTTGGAAATTGTTTGTACATGTAATAACCATAAGTATGATTTAATTGGATTCATCTAATTCTACATTTCTACTACTAGATGTATATGACTCTCTATCCCCTATCCCTACCCATGAGTGACATATCTTTTTGGCAGCTTCAATCTTTGACCCACTAAAGAGAATGTGGAAAAAGAAAAGGTTTCAAACACTCACAAAAAGATGAAGGCAAAGGAAAAGCATTTTGCGGTTCCCAAACGAAATTGATGACAGACATTTTGAAGGGCCATCAAAATTTGACCAAAGTTAAAATCTTCTTTCAATCTAAGAATACCATAATTTAAATTTCTTTTGGTGAAGGATCATAATTTAATTTGAACCACACATTAATCTCTTCTTTTTCCAATTTAATTTATATATAAGTTAAGTATCAAACAAATATAAATAATAGCTTGTAGAAAATTAAAAATGATAACTAACTTTCATTTATATCACTTTACTCTTTATTTAAATGGATTTAAAATAAAATTCCAACTTGCATATTATTTGTATCATATTCCATTGAGAGGGCTAATTAAACATACTAAACCGATAATTAACCGAACTCCTAAAATATTCTATAACATGTATTATTCAACACCTGACCCATTGATAAATATATGAGAAAGCATCATGATTTGTGGGGAGGTGCACAATATCAATCATAACTGTCAAGATTTATATATTAATTAATAATAATGGGACACAAGGTAATTAATAGAAATGCTTTCGAAAGTAAGAGATTTGTGCTTAGAATATTCTACTAACAATCTAGTATTTATAGAAAGTCTCAAGTCCTATAAAAAAATTATATTGCACTCGCTAAATATTCTAAAATTAAATAACAATTAAAATTATGTAATGATAATTTACAAAACATTTAATTAATTATAATCAATTACGAAATTGAGGATACAAATTTTATTTAAACTTGAATAGTGATGAGAAATGTGTGAATTCAGTAGTGCCGGCCTAAGGTGCATGTAGGCTCTTAAAAATATTTGTACTAATTAATAATATTTTAAAATGATTAAAAATTAGTACTGACTGAGTAACTAAATATTTCTATATTTCTATATATATATAT